AGAGAGAGAACAAGAAAGTGGAGTGAGGAAAGAATGAAAAACGGGGAGTGGCTCTCTATGTGTTTGAGTGAGAATAGGTGAGTGAGACAGTGCATTTGCGCGTGTGTGTGTGTGTATGTGTGTGTGTGTGTACGTAGGTGTTTGTGCATGTATGTATGAGAGACAGAGAGAGAGAGAGAGAGAGAGAGTATCATAATGTACATTTGGAAAGTGGCAGTCATTCAAAACAATGGACACAACGGGCGATTAAACTTTATTATAAGTATACAGATGATTTAGTGAATACTGAATACCCCCCCCAAAAAAAAAAACCACCACCACCACCACCCCAAAAAAGTATATAAGTAAATAAGTGAAGAAAGAAAGAAAGAAATAAGGAAAGAAAGAAGTGAATGAATGAAGAATGAAAGAATAAACAAATGAATGAATGAATGAATGATGAATGAATGAATGAGTAAATGAATGAATAAATGAACATGTAGTAAATATGTAAAGAAAGAAAGAAAGAAAGAAAGCGATAATGAAAGAGGGAAATGAATAATGAAAGAATGAACAAATGAATGACTGAATAAATGAGTGAATAAATGAACACGTAGATAAATAAACAAACAACAATCTTTTTAATGAACTGAATGGACCTTTGAATAAAGGACAGTAAATAAAATGAGAAAGTTAACCTTGTATGCGTGTAATCCCTTGATGGGAGGGCTTGACCAACAGCCCAATTAAGGAAAGAGGTGATACGTTTGATTAGTTCATGGAGTGCGATGTCCAAAATTTTGATTGATTAAGAATGGCCCGACAGGACCTCTTTGATTTTCCAAAGAGCCTGAGATAGTCTGACTCTGGGCGAGGTAGGAGAAGGGTCAATGTAATGATGTGGTTTTTTCTACTTTTTTGTTTTCTTAATTTGTTCTGTTAATTTGTTTTGTTGTTTTTTTTTGTTTATATTATTTATTATTTATTCATTTATTTATTTATTTATTTATTTATTTATTTTTATTTTATTTTTTTAATTTTTTTTTAGATGGGGAAGAGATTATTTTTCATCCTAGGTTTAATTTAGAAGGGGGTGAGGGAGTAAAAGGAAGGATCGTGTGTTTTTTTTTTTGCTTTGGTTATATTGACAGGAAGATTGTTATACTGGCCGGGGGGGGGGGGGGGGGGGAGTTGAGGTAGATGTGCCTTTTCTTTCAAATAAGATTAGCTGCTCAAGTGTCTATTTCTTAGTCTGGGATGCTTTTTTTTCACCTTTGTGTCTTAAGTGATTTTCCTATTTACTGTGACTTCAACTGCAGCCACGGTGGTGCAGTTTGATGATGACCAGCAATGAGGAAGATCAATGGGTTTGAATCCAAGTTGGGTCCAAAGTTTTGAAAAAATAAATTTCAACCCTTCATTCTGAACTAATTCAGCACGCAGATAATTTGTGACCTCTTCGTGACCTCACAGTTGGTCTCACAAAAAATTAATAAAGATTTATTTAAATTTGATAAAACCGCTATGTTTAGTATATTATGTTCAGAATAAAAAAAGCTATTCAATGACAGCAGAAAAAGGGTTGAAATGTAAGTGGTTAAAAAAAAAGAAGAGAGGAAAGTAATGTGAAGAAAAGTATGCAATATATAACAGCCGCTCTGAGTGGTTCTGGGTACAAATCCAGGAGAGATTTAGTTGCTGTGAGCAGCAGGGTTTTGGGTGGAATCAGTTGAAATAAACTCACTGCATCTTTCACGAATGACTGGTCGACTTATAACAGATGGAACGGCAAGATGGAAAAATGTAATTGGCGTACATTGATTGTGCTGGTAATATAAATGCTTACTAAATGTTTTTGTTTTTTTCTTTTGTATTTCAGACTGAAGCTGTGACCACAAATGGCACCACTGAAAACTAATCACCCCGCTCCAGCTGACATTCGCCACTAGTTCTAGCCAATGAGGAACAAAGATCTTGTTGCCTTCGACAGCGTCTCAACCAATCCGCAATGGATCTCTGAACCACGTGACAGACGGGGGGTGGGGCTACGACTGAAACGCAAAATGTATCTCTCATCTGCTTATGAAACTGCAGTCACTCCAGGATGCGAATACCCATCTGGAATTTCATTTTCAGCTGACATACATCTTTCTGAGAGGTACCGACCCTCAGAATCTTTAATACATTGTATATTTAACAGGATTTGAAGTGTCATAAAGGTTTTATTATTTGCATGTAGCATAGACTTGTGCAAATAGACTTGAGCAGAGCAAATAATCCACAGAATGTTATGGGTTTTTCATTTCTTACCCAGTAGATGTCATTATGGATAGCCTGTTTTCACAAACACTTGAGCATACAGAGTTCTTGTTGCATTGAAGCTTTGATGTGTCTTAAAATGATTACTAAGTATTGTAAGCTTCTCTTTAGGTCTTTTTTTTTTTTTTAGCTGTATCCCCTGTCACTCTCACAGTTATGATGCTTAGTTTTTTTTTGGTTGTTTTTTTTCCCATTGTTATTTTGATTATACTGATCTTTATTACAGTAACTTTATTTATTATTGCCAGTTCATTTTGTCAACTGCGAGTTGTCTTTGTTTACAATTTTGTATGAGCTTTCAGTCTTGTGAATAGTGAACTTGTGACAGCTTTTTAGTTTTTCACAACTTTCATACAAATAGCAATGATACCCTTCTATACGTACTTATCAACATCAATGACTCATTACTCGTATTCTTTATCTCAGCAATGAACTACTCAATTATCACTTTCTAATTTTCTCCACTTTTACTGTATTTCTCTTCCATCCAAATAATCAAGTTGTAGCAAACGATCTGTTTTTGAACTAGGTAAATTTTCCTGATCCTGTTACAAAATTTTACGTCTTTTTCTAAATAAGATCTGTTGGTAACCTGTCATCCAGAGGAAAAATCACTGAATATCAGAATGCCTTGTTATACCTTTTCAAGCATGACAGTTGTTTCTTTGTAAAACAACTAGAGTTGACCACAAGAGCATACCAAATCACGAACACGCTGAGGATCTTGCCTCTAAGGATCATGGAATTTATTTTAGAAAATGTATTAGACCATTGTATGACCTTCCTAATATAATTGATAATGAAACTTTCCGCTACGGGGATTTGGTTAAAGTAATTGCTATATACGCTGTGATGTCTTGTGTTAAACATTTTACATTCCCCCATCACACAAAACAATAACTGTTTTTGTTCCTTCTGTGGGGGGTAGATGGGAAACCTGTCTCTGCATTCGTTAATTGTTTTACCTTATCCAAAAGATCTCGGATTTCATTTTCAATTTCTATGTTTAAAACAGCACCCAACAAAACAATAACATTGATGGTACCTTACTATAATTGAATTCTGGTGTGACTTCATTTCAATGAGAAAACAATCTAGCCACTTCAACAGTGCTTTTGAGGGAAAGATTCAGGCTCCAAATGAAAAGGAGAACTGAATTTATAACGGAATAATGCAATTCAGACTAAAACAGAGACCTCAAATTATATTAGTTGAGTAAAAAAGAAGTAGATGTCAGGCTTGTTCTAATAAATATTTCATCATTGTTACTGTGTAAATATAGTTTCTGGAGAAAATTATAAATTCAAAATGGCATGTGACTTTCATGACATCTTTTATGTCTGTTGTAACGACCAACATTTAATTCCTATAAAAAGTAACTTTTGAGGCTAGTAAAGTAAGAACAAGCAGCTATTACGAACTGACAGGAAATAACAGTAAACTTTTGTCTTTTTAGCCATCATAGAACAAAATGTATGCATACCAAATTATTCTGAAACCATCTCTTTCACATTAGAGCACTGGTGATATACATTGTATACAACAATTAAAAAGGTCTCTTTTCTCGTACTGGAAGCAACAACATAAATTTGTCATGAAGATCTTTTGAAGTTTATTCTAAGGACCTGCAGAAAAGAATGTTTGTGATTCAGGTTGGTTTACAGTTGCACATTTGACCATGTGTTAATAATGAGGCTGTTGTGTCTATGAATTTGTGAATTATATTGTACCTCCACATTCAACAGTTTACTCATGGTACTGTCATGATTTGTTGTATCATACATACAAACACAATTGCTCATCACGTGTTAGAAGCTTTTTTGTCAAGTTTGTCTTTACCTTTTCAGTCATCCTTTGACTTCTCTTTATTTTATTTGTTTTTCTTTGAAGACTTTTTCATTTTCTCAAGCATCAGGTAATATGCATAATTGTTCATTTGAATTATGCTTTCAGTGTTCATGAGCTTGAACAATATTTTCCTTTCTATGTGATAAATGTCAATACACTGTTGTTTGTTTGTTTTCTCTGTTTCCTTTTGGCTCTAATCCTCATGCAATTTCCTGAATGTGATTTGATTCCCTGCTTCTTCTGTGACATTACTTGTTCGGAGAATCCGAACGCTTACCACATTGACAATAACGAAATTCGAAATAATTTCCACAATGTTTCTTCTCTTATCCCTCTAACTCTAACCCAAGCAATAGTCGCTGCTTCTCTATCTAACCCATGGCCCTTACTTTCCTTGTTCTGGATTTCATTGTGTCACAGTACAGAAGGTCATTTGTCCGTGTCTCAGAACCATTAGCGAATAAACACATCCCCACCCTGAAACACCCATCCAACGTACACTGTGTAATGGACTTTTTCTTACTATACTTAGTATTTCTGAATAGCTTGAAACTTGTATTAGCATATTTTTTACCAAATATCTATTGTTATCATCAAAGAATTGAGATTTTATCACATTGCAGTTTAAGTCTCAAGAGAATCACAATTCATTAAAAAAAGATTCTGAGAGTGAATATTATCAAAACTGTAAATCATTTTGTGTGTTGTCAATATGATCCTGAAACATCATGAATCTTTTCTATCAATTTGTTATTTTCTTTTTCTGTTTCAATCTGTATTCCAAATTGTAATTCATTAACTTTTTCTTGACAAAAGGTCAGGTTTGATTTTCACCATGCACTGTTATCCCCCCCTTTTTGGAATCCCCGGGACACAGGGTCTGTACACAAAAACTGACGGGCAATGCTCATCATTGTCCTCAAAGATCGAAAGACATGACACTCGACGCTCGTCAACTCTCGCGAGCATCTTGGCTCTGTCGCCAGGACAGAAATTATAGTCTAGACGACCTATGTTGTGTTGTGAGTCTCAAAGAGGTTAATAAATGGGTTGTAATGCTCTCCCATCGTGTGCCCCTATTTACCTAAGCCCTCTCTTTTACTGTGACACACAGTGTCTCAACTCTTCTCGAAAATATCCGTTTGGATCGTGGCGATAACCCACATTTATTTGGACGCAGCGTCTCCAAATTTCCCCGTAAATGTCATGTATAAGATTGTGATTATTGCAATCCGTTTTACAAAATTGTATGGCCCTATGTGACAAGCGAACCATTTATCGCTATTCTTGATGCTAATATATAAGGTCACTGTTGTTTTGAGTTCTGCCTTTCTGCTGTAAAATGCTACCTGTCCACTGTGTTTGACTAATAAACTTTTCATTATTACAATTATTTATTATTATATTATTATCATTATTATTATTATTACTATTATTATTATTATTA